ATTACATTGTTTAGCTCTATGGCCTCTTTTCTGAGCTTCTTCCCCAATGATCTGTCTTTCTCTGATAGCGGAGTATTAAAGTCACCTACTATGATTGTTCAGTCCATGATTTCTTTTTTCATCTTTTTAATATTTTATTTGACGAAATACGCCACACCATTATTAGGGGTGTAAATATTCAATATGCTAAGTGCTTCTTGGTTTACTGAACATTTGAGCATTATGTATTCTCCCTCTTTGTCTCTTTTTATGGTTTGGATTTTGAGGTCCATTTTGTCGGAGATTAAGATAGCCACCCCTGCTTTTTTGAGTTACCATTTGATTGGTATACTTTCTGCTAGCCTTTTATTCTTAGCTTTTTTTGGTCTGTGCGCTTAAGATGTGTCTCTTGCAGGCAACAGATTGATGGATTATGTTTCCTGAGCCAGTCCTCAAGCCTTTTTCTTTTAATGTACGAATTGAGTCCATTGGTACTCGGAGTTATTATCACTATCTGTGGTATTATAGTTGTCATACTCTTTCTTGTATTTTGGGTGTCTACTTCTCTCACTTCATATCAGTGTGCTGTATTTGAGTGGAGAGATTCTATCTTGCCTTCTTTTCCTTCTGAGACCCTGTTGTCCTGGTAATTGTTGCTGGCATGTTGGCTTCTAGATGGAGAAAGGCTTGTCTATTCAGTTAACTATAGTAATATATTAATATGCATTTTGGAAAATTTTATTTAAAAATATAGGAATAAATTCCTGATAGTTGGGCACCATCTATTTCTTCACCACGCTTTGCTATAGCACCCATATCTTCAATGATCACTTCATGAAGGTCAGTATGGAGCTGGGTCACAACATAAGGACTGATTGTTCTTAGGTTGTGGTTAAGTGTGAGCTAAAATTCATTCCTATATCTAAGGTTTATATACATAGCCCCATTTCACTTTAGTGGCAGCATTATTAGCTTTTTGATAAATGATAGAACAAACCTCCATGGGGCAATTGGTAATTTAAACATAGTATCATTAAACTAGTCAATGGTGTAGGATTTAACATACTGTTGAGATAAGGGGAATATTCATATATGAGAAAGTAAGACATGAGACTTTCAATTGTTAGGTGCCATCCAGCTGGCTATGTCCTTGGCAACACAATGCACAAGAGAAGGAAACACTGCATGGTCCTGCCCATCCTTACAATTGTTCCTATGCCTGAACCCATAGTTGCAACCATGGTGTCAATTCATCTGGTTTAGTATCTTCTTCTACTTTGCTGCCCCTCTGCTTTACCAAGCATGATGTCCCCCAGGGACTTGTCTCTCCTGAAAATATGTCCCAAATAGGTGAGATTAAGTCTTGCCATCCTTTCCTTCAAGGAACACTCTGGCCATTCTTCTTACAATACAGATTGGTTTGTCTTTCTAGCAGCCCATGATATTTTCAATAATCTTCTCGAGCACCACAATTCAAATGCATTAGTTCTTCAGCATATATGTTCAATCTTTATGGTGAGCAAATCATCACAGGAACTGGCTTTTATGGAGAACAATGTGGCATCAGTATTAGAAGAAGGCTCGTTAACAATCTTCAATATGCAGATGACACAAGCGTGCTTGCTCAAATTGAGAAGGACTTGAAGCACTTACTGATAAAGATCAAGAACTGCAGTCTTCAGTATGAAGGAAACCATGCAGTGTTTCCTTCTCTTGTGCATTCCTTATTCAATATCCAACTTTCAAATGCATGTAATACAATGGAAAATACCGTAGTTTGGATCAAGCACACATTAGTCCTCAAAGTAACATCCTTGTTCTTCTATACTCTAACAAGGTCTTATGCAGCAAACTTACCCAATACAACATGTCTTTTGATCTCTTTATTGCTGCTTCCATGAGCGTTGCTTGTGGATCTAAGCAAGACAAAATCCTTGACACCTTCAACCTTTTCTCCATTTATCACGATGTCTATTTGTCTAGTTGTGATCATTTGGGTCTTCTTGATATTGAGTTGTAATTCATACTGAAGACTGCCGTTCTTGATCTTTATCAGTATGTGCTTCAAGTCCTTCTCAATTTGAGCAAGCAAGATTGTGTCATCTGCATGTTGCAGATTGTTATTGGAAGAGCCTTCTTCCAATACTGATGCCACATTGTTCTCCATAAAAGCCAGTTCCTCTGATGATTTGCTCACCATAAAGATTGAACATATATGCTGAGAGAATAGAACATTGACTCATATCTTTCCCTTGTTCTCTTTGCACAACTGATCCATATACAAGTTCCTAATGAGCACAATGAAATGTTCTGGAATTTCCATTCTTCTCAAGATTATCCATAGTTCATTATGGTCCACACAGTTGAATGCCTTTGCATAGAATCAATAAAACACATGTAAATATCTTTCTGGTATTTTTAACTTTGAGCAAAGATCCATCTGACATCAGTAAAACCATCCCTTGTTCTATGTCCTCTCTAAATTGTCACTTAAGTTTTTTAGTAAGTATAACATAAAGTCTTCCTTATGTGACTGTTTACAGGAGTAGACAGCCAAGTCTTTCTCCCATGGAGCCACTGGAGGTTTTGACTGCCAACCTTTCATGTTGCATCCCAATGCATAACCATTACACCACCAGGGAGCCTATGTTCACGTGTACCCATTAACAACTGAAGTGACTGAATCGTTTAACAAAACAACGAGGGTTAGACACAGGGCACCCAAAGTTCAATAACACTCATTCCCTTTGGAGAACTATGTCTGCAAAATGAATTCACGTCTTTATATCCCAAGAAAATATTAAAATGGCAAATGTATGTTAATCTTGAATTGCCCTGTGCCATCCAGATCCACGATCTTGGAGGGCAGTCCTCCTCCTCGTCTCTCACCAGGACGGTTCAGCTTTGACTCCAAAGCTGTATCTCAGTTCCTTCCATCTGCAACACGTGCGTTCACGGTAAAGTCAGGCTCACTTGGTGGGCTTTCTGACACAGATCTTTTTGATGTGGCCTATGCAGTATGCTGTACACTTAAAGAAGAAAAAAAAATCTAAAGTCCAAGTAGCCTGTTGTATGGGGCCTGGGTAACCAAGGACTGAAAAGGAATTTGGTGTAAAATGCATGCTAATACAGGGCAGATTCTCCCCCCTGGGTGTTCATAAAAGTAATGTCAAGTATTTTCCCCAAAAGTAAACAACTTTCCCACCCCCTCTACCCACCAACAAAAGTAAAATCATGTTTGAGAAACTCACACACACACACACACACACACACACACACGCATACCCCTCCTCTTGGTCATGAGTCTCAACTAACGTGTACTTAACACTAATATAAGAATGTTCACCCAACAAGAGTAACCATAAAGAGGACAATGTAAATTATATTCTATATCAAGTCTTCTTGTGAAGTAATCATTTTCCTCTATTTTCTGAACTCTTAACTTGTTGTATTTATTATATCTGATCTAATAATAATCATAGTTACAAAGGCCCATGTGCTATTACTGTGTGTTGTCAATTCCATTTTCCATTCTTAGAGATCCTATAGAACAGAACTCCCCCATGGGGTTTTCTTTATGAATGGCTGTAAATCTTTTAAAAATTAATTAATCTATTTAATCTATTGTGTTAGACTAGGTAAACTAGAGAAACAAATCCACAGAAACTCATATGTATATAAGAGAGAGTTTTATATAAAAGTTAAGTGTACATTAAGAAA